TTTTCTCGTTTTTCATTTTTTTTCTCCTTCTGTCTTTGGTTTTTATTTATTCTTTCTTGGTTGTCATCAGTTTTCTTCATTTCTTTCCCAGTTTTCTTTTTTTTGTTGGTTTTCTCTGCTTTCTTTGTTTTTTGATTTTTTCTCTCTTTTGTTTTTTTACTTATTTATTTCTTGGTTTTCATCGGTTTTCTTTAATTTTTTATTCTTTTTGCTTTTGTTTCTTCAGATTTTTTTCATTCTATTTTTATTTGGTTTACTTTGTTCCTTTTTCAGTTCTCATTTTTTTGCTTTTCTTTATTGCTTTTGATTTTCATTCTAAATTGCTTGTATATGTCAACAAGATTTTTAATACACATTTAACATTTTTGAAGTACAAATTTCACATTTTCTTAGTACATGGTGAATATTTTTTCTAATACATATTTTTCAAATACAAGATTAATAGTTTTTGAATACTTGGTCAGCATTTCCCTATACACACTTTTAAACTTTCTCAAATGCTTGATTTAACATTTTAAAAAAGATAAATATTTTTGATACATGGTTAATATTTTTTCTATACACATTTTAACATTTTCCAAATGCTTGATTAACATTATTCAAACATTTTTTGAACATTTTCTGAATGCTTGATTAATATTTCTATATATATGATCAGTATTTTTCATCATTTTTAGTACATGTTCAACATTTGTTTATACACATTTAATATTTTCCAAATGCTTGATTAAGAATTTTCATACTTGCTCAACATTTTTTATGAATGATAAAAAAATCATTATTTTTTAATACATGATCAAAAAATCTTCTGTACACGTTAAATATTTTTTGAATGCTTGATTAACACTTTTGAAATATTTGTTCAACATTTTCTAATTTCTTGATTAACATTTTGCCAATACTTGTTTAACATTTTTCCAGTACTTGTTTAACATTTTTCATATACTTTTTCAAAATTTTCCAAATGCTTGATCAACATTTTTTAATACTTGCTCAACATTTTTCAAATGGTTTTTTGTGGAGTGCTTTTTGTAATATATCTAGTATTTTAAAGTATAAACAAAAGTACAAAAAAACAATAAAACGAAAACAGAAACCATAAAAAACAGAAAAAGGAAGCTGTGGCCTCCTGCGTTTATGGGCCAGCCCATCTCAGCCTCCCGTTCAGCTAGGGTTTCCTCCCCTCTCGCTGAACGCGAGATATAGCGGCACCCGCCGCGCGGCAGGTTGGCGTTTCTCTGGTCTGGCACCGCATGCAGGCCGCGTGACCTGCGCCGCATGCAGGCTGCCGTTATAAAAAGGAAGAAAAAAAATGGTAAGATCATGTGACTACCGAGTAGTGACAATACTTCGCGGTGAAGTTCACTACGGAGAAGCTCGCACGACGCACAAGTTAATTTGTAGAGACGATCAAGTCAACCATGCATGTCCATTGACCTAGTAGCAAAAGGAATGACTGAAAGATGATGAAGCGAAGACGCAACCTTTCCTTTTTGACACTACACATTTGGTCGAAAAAAAATGATTTTTTTTATTTGGTTTGAGTTTCTTTTTTTTTTGTTGCAGGGGAATTTGATTTGAGTTTCAAAGGAAAAACAAAAAAGCCTCAATCACATAAATCTATAATGGATTCCACTACAAATCTAACATCGGATTTTTGACCATGGCAAATTGAACATTTTTTTATGGCAAATTATATTCTCTGAGGATGGTTAGTTTAGCTGGAAAATCCTCCTCGGTTCATTTTTATTTTCAGAAAATTGTTGTGCTTGCAAACTAAATTTGCCATCCTCGTGTTAATATAAATTGCCATAAAAAATGTCAGATTTGTCATGCCTAAAATCTGAGGTCCGACTTTTAGTGTTTCCGATCTTTATTTTGTATTCCTATGTGCAAATAGCAACGCAGATGCCATATGTTGTTTTCTGTGAATAGAACACAACATCAGTAAAAAAATGCATTATCATAAAATCCATTTTGTATATGCAATTCTATCATCTTTTTGTCGTTTCCGTTTTGATATTTTATTAACCATTCTGCTGGAGCTACAAGCAACAATTCACCAACGCAATCATTATGCATAACACAACCCACCAATATAGTTTCTGCCGTCTTTGATTTTTCATATAACTGCTTTTTAAACAGTTGAACCAAATTGCTTGAAACTTGGTAGGCATGTAGTAAGGTGAGTCCTCAGCCGAAATTGCGTTGGAGCACTCGCTGATGAACCCCACCGGAATCACGCCCGCTCGGTTGTCTCGGGATCGGCACTCACTATATTAGCCCCTCCGTATTGACATCATTAATCGCCATGTATTCTCTCTGGTTTCACATGTACTCGAAGTGTTCGGAGATGGGTCTAACCACACCTACCAACACCTAACCACCTACTAGTCCATTCAACGCAGACACGTTCCTCTTCTTCCCAGCCATTCCATCTCATCTTCCACGCATCGGCTTCCCCCCACCCCCTTGCTATTATCATTGTTTCTTCATTGTTCTTTCAATAGCTCAAAGTGTCAAGACTTTGTTCTACCTTGGTCTCTCGATGGTCCTAACAACCATGTCAAGTTCAAGCACATTGCATGTCGAACTCGACGAGCACGAGCAACCTCTGCTGCCGCTGATGGTTTATCCCTACTGCAACAACGACATGGTGCAGTGGTGGGTCTCTCGTACAATTTCTAACCCAGGGAATCACTTCTACAAGTGCCAGCGTGAATGGGTAAGTCTATCGCACATACATCTATAATTTCAGCCCTATCTAGCACAACTGGATTTGATCTTTCCCTCTGTCTGTTATTGTAGTCTGGCAAATGCAACTTCAGGCCTCCTTTGGTTTGGAGGAATTTTGTAGGATTTTCATAGGATATGATTTCTATAGAAAAAATTCCTTCAGAGCTCTTTGGTTTGTAGGAATGAAATCCTATTCCTATGGAGGAATTCTTCCTATCCTCCACATTTCATAGAAAAATAAACATTAGCCTAGACTTAATGGAAAAAATCCTATGGTGTGAATCAAAGGGCATCTCTTTTTCTATTTCTATGCATAGGATCTGAGATGCATGTCATCTCATTTCCTATAACTTTTCTATTTCTATGATTTTCCAATCCTATAAACCAAAGAAGGCCTGAAAATAGGAGAAATACTACGTCAACGTTATCCGTGCAAAGTGGCCCAGGATGTTCACCATCCCAAATTGCACACAGAGGAAATTTCACCGTATCATCGTCGGGCTTCTAGTCCTCAACCTGCTTGCTTTGCTCTACGCTGTCTCAAAGGTCGCCTGAGCAGTGGGATGCTGCTGCCGAGACGCCAATGCTACTGCACCATCCTGTGTCCGCATGTCCTAGACATGGATTATCAACTATTATGTATTTTTTTATTCCAAAGCACGTGACCTCGTTGCTACGTGTTGAGAAACTTGTACGACCTACTATTAGTGTCAATCTTAAATATATTTATGTGAAATTGTGAATCTTTGGACGAATCAAATTATTAATTGCGGGCCTTCAATTTGTACCGTGCATTTCGGCCGGCGACATGTCATAATGCGCCGTACAAGTTTATTATTACTGCCACATCTACCTTAGCACCCACATGCCGCATGCCGCCATTAACTCTGAAGACGCAAGGTTTGACAAACAAGGACCACTGACCACGGCAACCTCACGCTCCATGCTTCTTTGGTTGGCCCATCAGGCAGGCAGCACCCACAAAATATCTCAAACAAAAACAAAATTTGCACGAAATCCTCCATAATTCACACTCAGTCCAGAGCAAGCCATCAGCACTAGCACACCGACAAAACAGGGCAGATAACCCATCAGGCACCTAGTTTACAGGTGGCCCGCTCTTCTCCGGATGATGAGAAGGACGCCCTATCCATCGGCCAAACCCTCAACCTCAATCCCCATCACCTAAATAAAAAGATCCCCCAAAAAGATGAGAAGCTTTGCATGCTTCCAACCCATAACAAACTTCGCTTTGCTGGTGTGGTGGGATCCGAAACTAAACTATTTCCTCTTGGAGATTTGCGCCTGGATGAGATAAAAAATCCTCCTGCTATTTTTCTTGACGATGAAGGAAAAGGAGAGGGACGATAACCTCTAGGGACCAGGGAGTAAAGTATCCACCAGTCAAGCTAACCTGCCCTGCAACTTCCGTCCTGTTCTTCTCTGGCCTACCTCCTCCAGCAAGGGAGGACTGGGAGCAGGAGCAGGGGGGCCGCCTCCACTCCATCCAATCCGATCCAATCCGATCCACGGGAGAAAGGCCAAAGGTCAGCGACTTCTTTCTTTTCTTGATTGATGCTTGGTTTCGAGCAAAAAGATGGTTTTTTTTGGGGTTGCTAATCCGGCCCGGCGTGCTCCAAATCAAGAACACGGTGGAGCCTGTTCCGTCCCCCCTCCCGTCGAATCGAATAATATAATATATCCTTCTGTTGCGAAGGATCGATCAGGGTGCCTGTTCGTTCGGGGATTTATGCGGGGATTTGTGTAGGTTGGGATCGACGGCGGGTCTCGCCGCTGAATTTGTTTCCGGCGCAGCCCGACGTTGTGTGTGAATCTTGAGAAGTGTCCGAGTTGGTCCCTTGTTTTCGCTCTTCTCTTAGGGGGGGAATAATAGTATCCTGTTCCCCGTAGAATGGAATCGGCACCTCATTTTGGGCTGGGAATCCAGGCTCTTGATCTCCGCCTCCCCTTCTCGGAGATCTCGGTGTCGCCTCGGCTTCAGTCGGGTATTCTCTTTAGGAATTATTATTAGGACTGTCTGCCACTCCTGTTCCTGAAGAATCAGAAAAATTAGAGCTAACTTTGTGTTAGATGCAAGACCTGGCTTTGTTCTTCTCCTTGTTCTTGTTCGCCATGCTGATCTCCTGTGAGATATGCCTGATTGCCATTGCTGTGTGGAATTTAGTCACACATGGACACCATGCTTCTCATGTTGTTCCACTTGTTCTTGATAAAATTGTTCCTGATATGCTGCACTTATTCTCATGGATTGCGAATTATATCATGTGTGGTTGTTTTCTTGGGGATTTATGCAGATTATTACCCTTCAACTAACTCATTGTGCACGGTTCACAGATTTGACTTCTGCTCGTGTGCTACGCTTGATCGACCGAAGGATTGGCGATATGGCAGAAGCTGACATCACGCGGTACTGGTGCCATGAATGTCAGCAGGCCGTCGAGGAGGCCATGGTGGAGGAGCTCAAGTGTCCGTTGTGTGATGGTGGGTTCGTCGAAGAGATGACCCTTGAGCAGGTTGAGGCATTGGTAAGTCAGCTATCAGAGCAAGGGCCAACTCAGTGGGACCCTCTGGACAACCCTTTTGAGCAGGCAGGATCGCCGGGGGACAGCGATGATGAAGATAATAGCGATATAGGCCGTGAGTTTGAGGGTTTCATCAGAAGGCATCGACGGGCATCGGCGCTGCGCCGTGTGCTTGACAGCATCCATGATGACCTTAGAGATGACAGGGAAAGGGACAACTCCGTTCTGATCAGTGCTTTCAACCAGGCCCTCGCTCTACAAGGTGCAGCGCTTGACCCTGACGAGGACCGAGGTGACAATGGTAACTCAAATAATGATGATGGTTTGCTAGACGAGTATGTCCTCGGGGCAGGGCTTAGTCTGCTTCTTCAACATTTGGCTGAGAATGACCCAAGCCGGTATGGTACTCCTCCAACGAAGAAAGAAGCAGTCGAAGCCCTGCCCACGGTCAAAATCGAAGAGGTTGTCAGCTGTTCAGTCTGTCTTGATGATCTTGATATAGGGTCCCAGGCTAAGCAGTTGCCTTGTGAACATAAGTTCCACTCACCATGTATCCTGCCATGGCTTGAACTCCATAGTTCCTGCCCAGTTTGCCGGTTTGAGCTGCCATCTGATGAGACAAAAGACTTGAGCGAGCCTAGCAACGTTGATCGAATAGAGAACAGCCATGAGGAGGCAAGAGCTGATGGCCCTGGAAACAATGGTGAGGACAGTAACACAAACGACAGGGAGGACAGTAACAGACCTTGGGCCCTTGTTCCTTGGTTTAATGGCCTATTCTCGACACCTGAGCCGCAAACTGTCAGAGCTACTTTGACTGATCAGCAGCTGCCTCCTGCTTCTGGAACCAACCCAAATGCAGGTCATAGTTGATCTTCTCCAGTGTTGTGAATAATGATCATACATCTGAGGATAGTGATGCAACTTTGTCAGTAGAACTCTTCTTTCCATCTTGTCGGTCATCTATCTGGATGAACAGGGTACAAAGTTTGTGGCTGCTTTGACATATGATTTGCGCTCATTTCACTTTGTTTCAGTGTTATGGCTAAGTCAACCCTATGTCTTACTACACTAATTTCTTTCTTTCCTCTTTGGCGCTGCGAATGATGCATTCATAATCCTTGATATATTGAGCTACTACTAGTCTTATTTCACTTGTAAACATCGACCAGAAAGCAACCTTGTTAAAACGTCCCTTTACGCTTTATGTAGTGGTTGGCCTTCTTACCTTCCACGCCTCTAGAAGCTTCTACGAAGCTATGCTTCCGGTAGCTTGCCTGCCAAGCCCCCTATAGGCGAACGGCCGAAGGATGGTCGAAAAGATTATGAGTAGAGTCTGTAGGGAAGTCAAGCTAATGCTTGTGCATAAAGTTGGTACAGGTATTGTTGCCCAAAAGTATACATCTGTTTGAAGACAACTCAAGCTAATGTTATGTATAAAGTTAGGTATTGTTGCCCAAAATTATACATCTGGTTGGGAAAAGAAACGACTTTTAACAGTGCGTCGCTTCGATGCAATTCCTCTTGACAGGTAGCTACTTTCTATCATGCCTAAATTCCCCTCTCCTGCTGTTACCAAAATGGTTTGCTATGGACATGCTATCACCTTCGGTATAGTCCTTTGAACAGTTCACGTTTCATTTGTTTTCGGTTTAACTAAATGGTCCTATCAACCTTGTGGTGTTAATTTGATTAAACCTTTTGAATGATTCAGGTTTCATTTGTTTTTGGTTTAAAGAAATGTCCTATTCCTCTGCTTAACTGTCACGGTTGTTTGCTCCAAGTTGATCGCTGCCCCTTGTCTTAAGCCCACATTATTGCCCATTTGTTTAGTGGATGCCATGGGATTGAAATGATGCGATATCTAAGATAATCGCATCTAAATCTAAACCAGTCTGTTCATCTTTTGTCAAGCAGCAAATGCTCGGTTCCTCGGGACCGTGGCGGCATCGGAGAAAACTAATGGCGAGCTTAGTGGCCGTGGGATTTATGCTTGCCTTTGCATTATGCATCCGATTATTATTCCTGAAATTTTAAGAGGTGCTTACAAGCATAAGCTTTGAAATGAATTCCTTGTTGTGATACTAATCAATGGTTGTCTAGTGGCATTCGATTCTTGAGTGCCGCCAGACTGCCAGGTTTACAGAAATCAGCTAAATTACTCCACCAGTGAATGTTCTTTAATAATTGATTGTGTTACTGCTGATCATATTCTCTTGGTTCAACAAAATGATTGATGTTCAACATTTATTTTTTCCTCCTTCGGATCAAGGAGATTACGGCTCACGATTTCATTCGCATGAAACCGCACAAACCGGCAGCACATTGAGCAACACCCCAAATATCTAGCTGGAGCACATTAGGAAAACAAATGATCAATACTTTCTTCCCTATCACAAGATCTACACTCGCTGTTATTCCCTTTTCACCCCCTCCTGATCAGAACATCCTTAGTCAAATACTACTCCCTCCGTTTACAAATACTCTATACGAGATGTTCTAAGTTTTTTCTAAACCAAATATATATAGACATGTTTTAGTGTGTATGTTCACCCATTTCAGTCGGTATGTAGTCCCTATTGAAATATCCTAATCATCTTATACTCCTGTTTGTGAACAGAGGGAGCACTATTAATCTAAGAGGAGCTCTAACTGGCCACATCTTCCTGCTTGGCCATTTAGCTTGGCTAGGGATTACACTGAAGAAGCACCAGACTTGCTACCTAACCATTTACTCTTTTTTTTTTTGACGAAAAGGCTGAGAGCAGCTTTTCACTGATATACGGGGGGGTTAAGAGGAGAATAGTTACAAGCGATGTACAGATCCAACATGCAACACTGGCCAACTCCTACACCAGTACTAGCCCTGATCTAGCGCAATTCCTTAGTCGGGTTCCCTGGGCCTGTTCAGCAAGGAGCACGCCACACGTTTGCCTCCTCAATCATCCTGTCGACTAGTGCGTGTGCCGATGATTGCTGGTTCCGGAAGATTCTAGCGTTGCGTTCATTCCAAGTTGACCACCAGACTAATTGTACCAAGGCACTCCACTTCTTGCTTTGCCCCGCTGGACGCCTAGAGATTGTGCGCTCAGCCCATTGTGACAGGGATTCTGTGGCTGGGCATGGGGCGAGCTCCTGAGGTAGACTGCACCGGCGGAGGACGGCATGCCAAATCTGCAGCGTGAACGGGCATGTAGCCAGCAGGTGAATGGCATCTTCCATTGGTCCGTCACAGAACGAGCAGGTTGCATTATGTGGCCAGCCCTTCTTGGCTAGCACGTCGGCAGTGTTGCAACGTCCAAGCATTGCCAACCACGCAAACAGTTTACACTTGCCAGGCGCGTCTGTGTTTCAGATAAAGTCAGCGAAGCCACTCCTGGTGCATCCTTCAAACTGGATCAGGTATGCCGACCGGGCCGTGTATATCCCGTCGGAGGTCCATCTCCACCGCACCTGGTCATGCGCCGTCGATAGGACAGTGCCGCTGATCCCTTCCCATAGTGCCAAGAACTCTCTGGTTGCCTGTAGCGGTAGGCGTTGCTTGAGGTGTCTCATCCATCTGCCTTCCACAAGCGCTTGGGCGACCGTTAAGTTCTTCCTAGTGCAATGCTCGAACAGCACCGGGAAAGCATGTTGGAGGCAGATACCTTTGAACCATGGTTCCTTCCAGAAGAGTATCCGCTCACCATTGCCAAGCTGGAAGTCGACCGAGGCATTGAAAAGGGCTATGACAGTGCGGTCAATTGGTAGTTGTAGCCCGTCCCAAGCCTTGTTGCCATCGGTCCAGGAGCGCCAGAGCCATCTCATCCGCAATGCCCTACTATGTGCCAGCACGTTGGTGATGCCGAGCTCCTTAGGCCTACAAATAGTTCTCCAGCTAACCAAACACTTGCCCCCCGATGTCGCCTCGGTGCCCTCCCAGAGAAAACCACGCCGCACCCTGTCAATCAGCTTCGCAAGCCAAGTTGGCATGATCAACGCGATCATCTGTAAGATCGGCATGGCCGAGAGCACCGTTTTGACCAGGTCCAATCTCCCGTCCATGGTAAGCAAGACCATCTTCCATCCCTTCATTCTGCAAACTAGCTTGTCACATATTGGTTGGAGGTCATTCTTCTTCAGCTTTGAATCTGTCAGGGGCATGCCGAGGTAGGTGCACGGAAAATGCTTGATCGGGCAGTTCAAGTCTTGAAGCAACTCCTGCAGGTCCATCCCCTCACAGCAGATGGGCGATACGGATGACTTTGCGAGGTTCGTGTGCAAGCCCGTGGCATCGCCGAACAGCCCTAAGACCTGGCTTACGGCAACAATCTCGCGCCGGCAAGGGTTGGTGAACAGCACTGCGTCGTCTGCGTATAGAGATGTCCGGAATGGCAATATTTGGTCTCCCATAGGGCCTAGAATTCCCAGGTTCGCTGCCTTGTCAATTAGAGTTGCTAGGCAGTCCATCACCAAAACGAACAACAGTGGGGAAAGAGGATCGCCCTGCCTGAGGCCCTTCATAAGATCAATCCTTTCGGAGAGCTCACCGTTGACAAGGATTCTCGTGGATGCTGTACTGAGGAGCGCAGCCAGGCAGTTGGTGAACACTCTCCCAAAACCCCTTGCGGTTAGCAGCTCAAGTAGGAACTCCCAGGATACCGTGTCGAAAGCACGTTGGATGTCAAGTTTCAGCATTAGGGCAGGCGTTTTGGATCGCCGAAAGGCCTTGGCCAGGCCGCTGACAAAGCAGAAGTTGTCTTGGATGGCCCTACCTCTGATGAATGCGTTCTGACAAGGTCCAACCAGATCATTCATCCTTCTCTGAAGCCTTGTCGCCAAGATTTTGGTGACCAGCTTGGCGAAGCTACAAACCAGACTGATCGGCCTGTAGTCCTTCATGGTGGCGGCGTCAGCACTCTTTGCAAGGAGGATCATGGTAGCTTGGTTCAGGCGGCGGAGGTGGGTCGTCGTGGTGGTCTGTACTGCCCTGATGGCTGTAGTTAGGTCAGCCTTGATGATGTGCCAGCAGCGTTTGTAAAATAGCCCCGTGAACCCATTGGGTCCAGGAGCTCTATTGCCGTCCAGCTCCGCTATGTTGGCAAGGATTTCCTCTTCGGTGATGGGCGCATCCATGTCACCCAGCTCAATCCGTTCATAACCGAGCCCCTGTAAGTTCAGCCTCCTTGGCCTTGGTTGCTTGGCCCCGAAGATAGGCTCGAAGAAGGAGTGGAAGGCCTTCACCTTGGTTTCCTGATCGGTGACTGTAACCCCGTCCACCTGTAGCTTGGGGATGAAGTTTTTGCGTCTCCGCGCCGTAGCTTTGGCACGGAAGAAGTTAGCTCCTGCATCCCCTTCCTTTATCCCCCTGAACCTCGATTTCTGCCGCCAGATAGCCCTGTCCAGCGCGGCATATCCGAGTCGCTGCATCTTCATGTTGGCCCTGAACTGTCTCTCGTCTGCCGTGAGGGGCCTCTGGTCCATAGCCCTGTCGAGCTGCGCAATGATCTCACTCGTGATGGCCCCCTTGAGCTTGATGTTGTTGCAGAACTTGGCCTGCCAGCGTTGGAGTGCATTGGCCGTGGCCTTGAGCCTGCCGGCGAACTGGCCGACGGGGTCACCGGCCGTAGGCCCCTCCTGCCAAGCGGCACAGACCACCTCCTCGAACCCCTCCAATTTGGTCCAATGGTTCTGGAATCTGAAGCATCGCGCCTGCCGAAAAGCTATCTCACAATTGAGCAATAAAGGGCAGTGGTCCGAGATCTCTGAGGATAGAGCATGCAACATGCAGTCGGGCAGCAGCTCCTCGAATGCTCCATTGATGAGTATACGGTCTAGCTTCACCATTGTTGCTTGATCTTGCTCGCTACTCCATGTGTACCTACGACCATGTA